AAAAAAAAAAAAAAAAAAACTTCTCAGAATTCTCAGACTGTAGCCAATATGTTGTTTTTCTAGTTTGACACTCGTTACGTAAACTTATAAAACCCTATAGTGATCACACCATGCCCTCGATGGTGTCCAGCTTCTGTGGGTGCCCAGATTCACCTTGCTGCCTTTCCTGCAGCTTGCAGTTTTGCTGATAATCTCTAAGCACCTCCACCACTTCTTTGTGTTCAAACTGCACGGCGTCATGAACTGGAAGGTTCCCCCACCTGGGTTTGATTTGATCCACGACAAAATAAAGCTTTAGTAAACACATTTTAAAGACATAAATTGGAGTAAAAATGCATTGAACAGTTGGTCACTCTTAGAAAATAAKCACAAAAAAACAAAACAGAAAATTTGATTCTGTTGACATGCATACAGATAAAGATCAGAAGTCATCCTCACCTGTCTTTTATAAATGGATTAACTTTGCAGGTTTCAGTGAGAAACTTCACCACATCTGTGTGACCTGAAGTTAAACAGACAGAACGAAATGGAGTTTTCAATYAACAGTAACACAACTCGTCTTGCTTTGCTGCCAAAAAGCAATTCAACACAAGTGGCTTATGTGAAACTGTAGATGGAGAGAATAACACAGTATAATGTATCATTTGATCCAGCTCACAATGAAGTTTTATTTTTTTCTTCAAAATTAGAAAAGGATTTTAATGAACATCATTTTAAACTAAAAAACAACATATGTGCAACTCTGCGCTCAATCTGATTGGGTCAGAGTTTGAGCTACAGTAATTCATTTGTTGTTAGTAAAATGTCAGCTTGATTTGTCTGTCAATCAGACAACCATAAGTTGATTGTTATAGCAAATTAACTAAATAGCAACGTTTTAGTAAGTAATCAGTTGAGTAATTAAATATAATGAACAACAATTTGCATACATGTAATGCAATTTCTATTCTGGTATGTAATGAAATTGGTCATTGGGTTACCATGTCAACTGTTACACAATAACCGTAAAGAAGTTCAACCCTGAAACCTGTCGGCTCTGTCATCACCCACTGGTAAACTAAAGTTTTCTGCTCATGGAAAACTTGGTTCATTAACTCAACTTCATCTTAGATTAATAAGAACTGCTTTGTGTTATTTCTGGGTTGAAGTCAAAGTCCAAGAAAAAGAATTGTCCACTGCTGTGTTGTTGAACAAAGTTCTTCATAAGTTTGTTTAAACAAGGACAATGTATCATTTTAAATAGCTAAAGCAAATGTGCATGAAGGACTAACTATTTTTTTTGGAGCTGTATTTTTATAGAGAATTTTTGATTTGATAAACAGAATTATACCAGACTATGAGATTAGATGAATACCAGACAGCTAAAGGCATCCAGACAACAGGAAATTATCAAAAGATGTAGTGAATAGTTACAAAAAAACAAAACAAAAACAAAAACAGGCCTCAGTAGTGCTCACCCTCTGCTGCAGCGATATGTAGAGCAGTTCGGGAGTCATAATCTTTTAGATCCATGTCCACAGAAGAAAGGGCAAATCTGCAGCGTAAATCATTTTGACSATTTGAAAAATACCTTTTGATATTCATGACATGTAACAAATGGTTTTTGAAAAATAAAAAAATAAATAAAAACTGCAGGGGACTACAAATTTACAAATGAAATAAACTTTTTTTGTTGTTACTGACAGTTTACTCTTGTAGGAAATAAAAACAATATAAATCATAACCTTAAAGGTAGTAGAAATCTGTGCAAAGTATTTGTGGAGTCTCTATTATATGTCTATACGCTTTATTTCTGACTTAATTTGTTGTTTATATTTTATCACTTAGGTCGAGCATTAACATTTTAAGATTGTGTTTTTCATGAAGGACAAACAATAATCAGGGCTTTGAGTACTACCTTCTCAAGGCTGACACATCTCCACTGTAGGCAGCAAACAAAAGGTTGAAAACAAACTTGTTCTGCAAAYACATTACAAAATCATTACTGCACAGTCAGAAAACAAATCACAAATAAATAATAAAATACAAAACCCTGAAAAATTACCTCAATAAAACAATGAAAACAAAATGTACTTAAAAAATGTAAGATAACTCTTCACGGTATGTGGGCTGATTTAATCCGATATTTATTTTTTGGCTAATATTGGACCAATAATGATATCAGATCGGGACACCCCTAATACAAATCATGCAAAACAGAAGACACACGGCGCACCCTGTCATCTCCGTCCTGCCTGCGAGGGTCTTGCTTCTTTACAAAATGTCTCAGGTTGTCGTAGTTGTGAAAATTGAACTGTGAAACGAGTTCCTAAAGAAGATGGACAATAAGGAAACCTTTTAATTATCTTACAACATAAAATAGTTTCCAGAAAAAAAAATTCTTTTGAAAACTGATTCTTCTGGGATCAAGATTTTCAAAATGCTGACAAATGAACTTTTAGGCACCGATGTTCCATTGAACACACACTAAGCCATGAAAACAATGGTGAAATAATCAAACCTAAATCTATAGTGTACTAACAAACACATTTCAGACAAACATTCTGCTCTTGCCTGACAGAAGTGAATTCCCCGGACGCTGTTCCCAACTCTGTCCAGAGGAGGAGACCAACACATCACTCCCATGACATTAGGGATCACCAGCAGTATTGCACCAGATACGCCAGATTTTGCAGGTAATCCCACCTGGGAGATGAGTGAGAAACCAGATGTACTCAGTAGAATAACAGTACTTCTACAGTGTTAGAGAGGTTCTGTTATATCCTGATGTCACTCACGTGAAAAGCCATCTGACCAGAGAAGTCATACATGCCACACGAATGCATGAGGCTCAAGGTGTCTCGTACAGCCTCGGCGCTCAGGACTCGCTCGCCCGTAATTGGACAGATTCCCCCGTTGGCCAAAGTGGCAGCCATGACACTTCCAGACTCACAGGTGACTTCGATGGAGCACAGCTGAAAGAAMGAAAAATCACTTCACTACTGAATATACTAAAAGAATCTTTACTGCCTTTTTTATCACAAGTTATGTAAGAAGGTAAAAATCCTGATTAATGCAGCCAAAATCACTTACCTGGAAGTAGAAGTCAAGAGCATCAATCATATCTGCTCCTGGAGGAAAACACTGATGAATAAAAACGTGATAATCAGCTTTAATTTTTAATTTGCTTTAATAGTTTAGTTGAAAAACTACTTTTCTGTATTTTATTCTTGCATAAACAAATGACTAAAAATTAAGTGTTGCCAGTTTAACATGAAGATATGTACATGAATATGTGAAGCCTGCATCAAAAATGCTGCAAAAAATATAGGAATCATTTAAACTCAGCCTGAAAAAAAGATGATGCAACTGACCTTCTTCTCTTTCATGTAGTATCCAATGGCAAAATTTCTGTCGCCTGTTTCTTTTTCCGACTGAAACCTGAGGTAGAGATGCAGCCGAGGTCAATATTGCATTATCAATAATGCATGAAATCAGTAGAATTGTAAGTTCCCTAACACAGACAGCTAGTCTTTCAGCTTGGTCATGCTGAACATAAGCATAAAACACAATAATAATAAAAAAATACAATAAAAAAAATACACACTTACGTGGCATTGCTGAATCCTATATATTCTTGACCGGCCATCTTTTTCAAAAATCCCATAAACTGAAAAACAAAACTGCTGTATTTATTTTGCCTTCTGAGATATGGTTGCCATCATTTTATATATTTATTAAATAAATAAATAATCTGAGATATATTACTTACATAATCAAACTTCTCTGCTTTATTTGAATGAGGCTGAAAAAAAATCATATTTTTTGTTGTGTAAAAAAATTGTTGATTATAATTGTCTTGTTCATTTATGACTTACTGCTTTACATATAGAGGAAAACACAGACATGTTACTGATTGCATAATTTAAGACCCTATTATCAGCTGGTGCAGTAAGATAACAGTAGATATCGAAGATAAACAGGCAGGTTTATCAGAAGCTTAGAAAATAKTTCACAAACCTGAATCATGCAAAAATAGCTAATTTATTTAGTGTTAAACACAAGGGAACAACATTTTTTAGTACATTTTGATATTTTAAAGTATATCAAATGCAGACAGTAATTAAAATATATTAATAGTCACTAAATCAAATGTATACAACTACAATGTTGTCTATAGATTATTATATACACTAAAGTTTTCCTGTTTTTTAATACAACTATTTGAAAAAAATGCTGCAAACCTCGTCTTATCACCGGTGTAAATCACTTAAATGTCTCAAGTGACTCCAAAGTACAAACACCAGCTCTGTCATTGACTTTTATTAGAAAGGGAGCAACTAAATATTAGTGCTGATTGAACTGTCTGTAGTGAAGTCCATGTGTTTACCTTGATAAGAGAGCTGATCACTATGGCTCCAGCGTTCACCATGGGGTTGTGGGGTTTATCTGGGAGAGAGAACAACCTGATAAACAAAAATTAATAAAAGAATTGGACTTAAAAGTAACTTTGGGAAATGGTCTTGTGGCAGAACAGGTTGGAAGATGGCTATTTAATGTTATTTATTGTTTTTAAATCATCCTACAGGCTATCCTTACATGTTAGATAAATTTGAAAATGAGGTTTTAAAAAATCCACAAGATTTGAAAAAATCTGTGAGATTGTTCTATACGTCCGTATACCTGCAAAATGATGTAAAATCCTTATAACTTATGGACAATCCATACAAGTTGACATGTATGTTGTTATTTATTTGCTTTCCGGGAAAGCAAACTAATCTAAATTTACCATAGTACCTTACACTGTCAAACTTGTTTTTAGGGGGTTCAAATTGGGGTAGGTGGGACATAGTTCGGGGTGGGGGGGGTGGGGTGCGCTTCAACTCGCCTAGGGCACCAAAATGGCTAGAGTCAGCACTGCTGTTAGGTAACTTGATCATTACTTAATCAGGTAAMAGATAACTTTTAAAAATTGTTGCTGTATGCTGTGCATTTATTCATCCACAGTGGGAAGAAATGGTCAGCACTTTATAGWATTTCCAAATAAAAAATGAAAAATGTTCTTCACTTGTAGAGTACCTTTAAACCACCTTCAGCCACACATTTTACAACGTGCTCCTCATGCACCAATTCACACATATTTAATAGCAGCACAGCTACCAAGACCCTCGCCTTCAATCAAAGATCAAAGTGGGCATCAGGTCCTGACCAACAGGAGCCATTTCCACACACTGACAGCATGATTGATRGAGGAGTTTAAACCGAGACGAGGAGGCCTCACACACCTTCCTCATCAAGTGAAAGCACATTGAACTTGAGTCCGCTGGGCTCCATGCCAACATAGCTGTGAACCTTCTCAGTTCCAGACTCGTGGATGGAGATGGCATACTGCAGGGGCTTCACACATGACTGCAGGCAGAATGGCTGCTTGGTGTCGCCTACAGAGTGCCTGAAAACAGGAGATTGGAACAAGTGTGGAGAAATAATGTTAAACACTCAACAAACAAGATTTACTTTAAAATGTACTAAAAAAAACGAAGCATGAGTTTGATAAAAAAAATAGTTGCATACAGATACAAATATTGTACGAAATCCACTAATTTTTAACAGTAGGTAAAAATACTTGAACTCAAATGCATCACATGATCTTTCAGTGAATCATTGCTGACAACTATGTCAGTAATTTTTACTTTGAAAATTATGGTCCGCACTGAGCTATCCAAGCTCTTTGACCACTTTACTTCTCTCCTGACCCTTGTTTGAGTAACCCATCTTCACAAATAAATCAGTCTAAATGTCTGTCCATGATGGCGCAACAAGCCACTAAATGCAATGCATTGTTAGACCCCTTTTCCCCCAACACAACTAACACTGCAATAAACATCCCACTCTTTTAAATACCCTGCTTGCACTCAGTTTTTTTCTTAGTAATCAGTGCTTACATCAAGACTTCTTACTGTACTGAAAATGACAGCTGCTTTGGACTAAAGGGAAGGGGGTTGGATCAGCTTTTTTAGAGTTTAATATCATGTTATAATGTCATTCCCTCATCAAAAACATACCAAGAGTGTTGCTTTAATTCATTCATGCATGTTTGAGAAATTCTCGAATCTCCAGTGGTAGCCATGTGTAGCTGCCTTAACACTTGTTTTCTACAAAGCACCGCCTATTTATACAAAGCTCCTCCCTGGATCTCAGTCTGCAGCCAGGCTCCCACCCCACAGAGCACCCCTCCCCCAAAACACTGTTGTGAAGTGGAAGTGTCGAAAAGTAGGTTCTTAAAGAGATTGAGGCATTTTTCAAGAAGTTTAGATGATGCAAAGACAAATTTATTTTTGGTATATGTAGCATTTTCAAAACAAGTGAAGGTAACGTACTTGATTGTGGTATAGAATTGAAATATGTGCCTGGAAAATGCACAACATCCCCTCGTTAAATTGTCAGCTACAATAAATGCACAACTTACCTTTGGCCGTCAACTGTACATAAAGACACACCCCACAGTTCTGGGCTAAATTTAGCCAGCTGGGGGATGTAGTCTGCAACCTGCAGCCACAATTCACAAGAGAAAACAGTGACGTTAAAGCAGACACTTTTTTACAAAGGCTAATATTTGGCAGTTCATAGAAACCTCATCTAAAGAAACACAGAAACTAAATAATGTGCTGCTCTAATAAGAATACTTGTGAACAAAAGATTACCTTTCCATTGTTTTGCTTTTGCACTGTTTCATAGATTTCRTTTATTTTTTCTGCAAACACATCAAACTCGGGGATGATAAATTTCTTTCTGAAGGCCTGGATCAGCAGAACAACGTTGCCACCGACACACCTGGAAGAAAATCGCCGTGGCACAGAATTACTCCGAGTTACTCAGACAATTTACGGACGGACAGAAAACAAAGTGGCAAGACTAAATGAGAAGGGATAGCCAAGTTTGTTACAACAGATGGCGTGATCCCTCACACGTAGCTGCATCCTGAACAACAATTTACTCCGAGTCGTTAATCCACAGTGTTTGTCGAGAATSTGTGCGCGTGTTGTTTCGGTGGCTGCGTACACGCCACCATTTGAAGCTGCTAACGCTTAATGAGGCTCAGYTTATTTGTTACCAAAGAACAAACCTTGAAGAGAGAAGAATGGAATGGAAGAGAGACAAAAATAAAATTATTTTATTTAAGAAAGGATCATTCCTATGMACAGAAAATAGTTTTAGAGGATGAATCAATATACAGAAATAATTGAAGGATTAAAATGACAAAACCATTTGGCATGAAATGGGATTAAAGCCCACCGTAAACCTCAGCCTGAAAAATTACAATTTAACTGAATCAACATATTTCTGGCTGAGACTCAGCAAACATTTATAAAAGCCTTTATTAGATTGGATTACATGAACACACTTGTGCTACTGAGCTCTTTTCCTTGATTTCCTCCATTTAAAATAAATGACATCAGGACAGGCCAACAGAGAGTTAATGGTGCAGCATGCCACAGACAATAAGTCCTGTATTAAAAAGGATTGTTTGTTAGAAGGTCAGACTAAAAATAGTTTGGTCTTATGCCTTCAGGCGCCCATTGCCTGGTGATGAATGAAAACAAAACGCCATGAGATGATTAGTGCTGTGAATGGCAATCTGATTCGCAGCACAGAAGAGCAGAACACCCAGAGACACATAACTTTGAAACCACTAAATAATTCATCGCATCCCCTGTCAACAGTTAAATGTAGCCATTAAACATTTTCAACCTGTTTCCTACTTTACTTCAATGTTTTAAAGGAGCATAAGATGTAAAAACTGCAGCACATCTCTGTCTGTGGTGCGGATTTAGGATTTAAGAGAGCACCTACAGCACCCCACCTGTAACCTGTAGATACCCTTCACAGAAACACCTTGAAATACTTCGAAAGAATAAAAGAGCAGAGAAGCTGTGTTATCGCTCCTGCACCAAGGCAGCAGCCTCTGGGCTGATAGTTAACTGCAAAGCACTGCTTTCAGTGGAAGAGCTAGAAGCAAACCACCCTAATTCCATAAAATCCAGCAGCATTTGATTTGTGCTGATCAGGCTAGGGGTAGGCTTTAGTAAAAATTTAAAGCATATATTTAACTATTATCTCATAAATTGAGGCAGCTAATGCTCTTGTTGGAGTCCAGGGTGTCTAATCTTTGACTTAGCCCGTCCTCGTGTTTGAGAGGCAAAAACTGGGAAGTACATTTTGTCATTTAAGTTAAAAATAACTTTCTCCATAAGTGCACTCTATTTAAATAACCCCAATAAAAATACATGGGAGCTGATTCTACTCTTAGCTTTGTAACAAACTTAATCTTGAGCAAACACTTGATCATCTCATGGGGGGATGCTGCTGTCTCACCTGTGGAAGAGGTCTCTGTCCATCATAACTTCACCAACAGATTCCTTCACAGCCTGTCGCAGCTTCTCCATGCACCCCCTCAGGCGAGGGTCCGAGGGATGAAGACCTGTTTTTTTCAAGGCCTGCAAAGATGGAATTGTCGATCAACTGTCTTTCCAAATAAAATAAGATGAAGTACTTAACATCAGTCTTGACATTTTTTTTTATTGTAGCCAAGGGGACAGAAAGAATCAATAATAAACTAAAAATAAATATAAAAATAAAAAAGAAGACAGCACACTCACAGCAGTAAAGTGTGCGATAGACACTTGCTCTTTTCCGTCTGTGATGGTGTAGAAAAGCATGTTTTCCACACCAGAACTGGAAGATTTGGAATGAACATTTCTCCTGGTGGAGTGCAATTAAAAAAAACACATAAGTAATCATCAAAGCCCTTTCTATTTAATTAATTAATTWATTTATTTATTTAAAAAGAAGAAGGAAAGAAGGAAACAAATAAAATAAGGAATATGGAGCTTGGCTTGTGTTGTCTTGATTTATAGGACTGGTTCTTTTGCACTTTTAATGTTCATTTACTTGTGGTAAAATAAAGCAGATGTGGATGCCAGAATTTATTTAGACAATAATGACACAGTACAGTAAAAAAAAGGAAAAAAGAAAAAAAGCCATATACTGTATTTTACAGCTGAGAACTGTTATTTGTTTAGTTTTAAATAATAGTTAATTAACATTTATTG